CTGTGTGTGTTTGTTGCAGCTTGTTGTTTTCGGTGAAGTTGCAAGAAAAGTAATTAAGGATATTTCATAGAAACAGTGATCCAAACATCATCCATCCTTAAAACCTTAACCTTTACCGTGTCTTATAAACCGCGTTATTGCAGATCTCTTTGTGTTGTTGTTTAAGTTTGTTTGTTTCATGTAATATAAATATATACACATTATGATTTGACTAATTCCGCTTGAAACGAGTCTAGCTGCTTTACTTTAAAATTAAAATATATATGCTACAGTTTTTAGCCTTTGGGTACACCAAAAACAATTCTAAGGGAGATGTGTTATTATTATTAATAAAGTGTGTTCGTGTTTTTTTTCTTCATTATTTATTCCCATAAAATAGATTAAAGATTTTCTCCTTCATTTCAGTTTCTTTTCTTTCGTAATTTCTGTAGCGTTAATTTCATGCAATGACCGGCAATACCATGTGAGGAAGCACACAACGCAATTGCAAGCTTCAGTGAAGAGAGTAGGTCTTTCTTTTCCCCAGTGATCGAATCAGAACCGTTAGATTCGCTCAGAACCACGTGTCCAACAGCAAACACACAAAACTCTCTTCAGTTTCAGCCCAGCCTGTTGGTGTTTTTTTTATTTGAGTTTCCTTTTCTTGTAAGTTATAACCTAAATGGGCCAACCAACGAGTTAAATGGCATAACATCTATCCTCTGCCTTTGTAGGTTTCAAACAGCCCACATAACGATCAACTCAAACTCAAACTCAAACTCAATTTTTGTTTTTGGGTTTGGGCCAATCTGTACCACAATGATCCTGTTATACATGTTACATATTCATTCATTCATGCTCCTCAAAATGGAGAATGGGACTGAGAAACGTGCGTGGCTCACGTTTCTATGATTTATATTTTATAGGCATGCAAATTCCACGAAATAAGCAGCCTTAGAATCAGATATCATAAACAAGTTTCAATAGATATATTATATTATTATTGTTGTTGTGGAAACAATTGGAGAAATTGTAGAACAGTACCGGTGACGTGAACCCAACAAGAGAAGACTAAGACTTAGATTACATCTTCTTTTAAGCTCGTCTCTAAATGTGACACAAATAGCATTAGTCTCTAACCCAAGTTATGAATGCCAAATGCACAGGTTGGGTTGGGTTAGGTTGGACTTGTTCAAAACGAACCAACGATAGCAGCCTCAGCGATTTTGATTTTCCCGTCTTTTCATGGCTGGACTTTTCCTTTGGATTAGCATATCATACCCCAACAAGTATAGTGCGGACAGCGCTCTGCTTTATTTAACAAATAAATTATTCGATTATAAGTCTCTGCGGAGAAACAAACGACCGAGATACTTTGAGTTCAATTGAAATAATTCTTCTCGAGCACCTTTCAAACATTAAATAAGTTAAGTTGATTGATTCATGAGAATGCACAGCCTGCACAGCCACAGCTGATATATATATATATATATATAAATATATAATGAAGGAACCAAACTAACTTTCAGAGCTTCAAACATAGAGACCTATCTATCTATCTTCATGGAGGAGCCGCTACTGGACACAGCTGCCGGCGCTGATCAGTTGAGCACTAAGCCTCATGATCTGTATGAAGGTGGGAACGAAGACTATGCGCCGGTGAGGAGCTTCGATGCGTTGCGCCATATGTTTTGGATTGAGACAGTGAAGCTCTGGAAAATCGCAGGTCCCACCGTGATCACTATGTTGTGTATGTATGGGACTAACTCAGTTATCGTTATCTTTGTTGGTCATCTAGGAGCTGTAGAGCTCTCAGCCGTCTCCATCTCTCTCTCCGTCATTTCCACATTTGCTTATGGATTCTTGGTTAATTTTCTTCCCCTTAAGTCCTCTCATGTCAAGCACACGTTATATTATATGTTGCTTTACTATGAATTTGAAGTTTCGACTATTAGTTAGGTACATCATACATGAAATGAAAATAACATTACTTACATATATATTTGGCAAGAGAACATTGATGTGGATGCATGAATTGTACCAATAGGGCAACTTTAAGAAAGTCCAAAATATGAATTTGTTATGTTATGCAGCTTGGCATGGGGAGTGCCCTGGAGACCCTGTGTGGGCAGGCATTTGGAGCTGGGCAGATTCATATGCTTGGGATTTACATGCAGCGCTCATGGATAATCCTATTTGTATCCACCCTCTGCATCTTGCCAATTTACATCTTTGCCACACCCGTTTTAAAGTTGCTAGGCCAAGAAGATGACATAGCCAATCTAGCTGGAGAATTTACAATCCAAATAATCCCCTCATTGTTCTCACTTGCCATTAATTTCCCATGTCAGAAGTTCCTTCAGGCTCAGAGAAAGGTTAAGGTTCTGGCATGGATTGCAGTTTTGGGTTTGATCCTACAAATTGGGATGCTCTGTCTCTTCATTTTGGTGTTTGGTTGGGGCACATTGGGTGCGGCTGTTGCATTTGACATTGTAAGATGGGGCGTGGCAATTGCTCAAGTTGTGTATATAATGGGTTGGTGCAGGGACGGCTGGACTGGGTTTTCATGGTTGGCTTTCAAGGAGATATGGGCTTTTGTAAGACTTTCCCTTGCCTCTGCTGTCATGCTCTGCCTTGAGATTTGGTACTTCATGAGCATACTCATTCTCACAGGCCATCTTGATAATGCAGTTATAGCAGTTGGTTCCCTTTCTATTTGGTAATTAACATCTTAATGCTAATACCATGGTGGCTAATGATAAGTTTTTGATACCTAATGCTAATACCATTCTCTTCTTTTCCTTCATTTTTTTGGCTTCCGCAGCATGAACATCAACGAATTTGAACTAATGTTGTTCGTTGGAATAAATGTGGCAATAAGGTGAACAATAAGCATTGCATATTGCATTTGAATGATTATTCATGTTGGTGAATGAGTTAATTAAGGTTTTTAATTTCTACTAATAATGCAGTGTGCGTGTCTCCAATGAGCTTGGATCAGGAAGACCAAGAGCAGCCAAATACTCTGTCTATGTGACAGTATTTCAGTGTCTTCTAATTGGGATTTTTTTCATGATTGTGATCTTGATAACCAAAGACAGTTTTTCCCTACTTTTTACAAGTGATGAGGATCTGCAACAAGCGGTCGCTAAGCTAGCATATCTTCTTGGTATAACTATGTTGCTCAACAGCATCCAGCCAATAATATCAGGTACCCGTTTGACGTGCGACTAAGTTTATGAAATGTTATACAAATAATGCCACTTCTTCTGCTGATGCCCATGTTTGCTTGCTTGCTTCTTGAAGGGGTTGCAATTGGAGGTGGATGGCAGGCGCTGGTAGCTTATATAAACTTGGGTTGTTACTACATTTTTGGACTTCCTTTTGGATATCTTCTTGGTTATACTGCAAATCTGGGTGTGATGGTAAGTTAAGATATCATTCCCAAATTCCAAGTAGGTTACGTTAATTCACAAGTGTTTGATGAATTCCTGTGATTGATGCAGGGACTTTGGGGGGGCATGATATGTGGAACTGCTCTCCAAACCTTGCTTCTGTTGATTGTGCTTTACAAAACCAACTGGAACAAAGAGGTATAATCAATATTTCAATTCATTGCTAATCATAAACCATGTGAGATATGAAAATCTTAACAAAATACAACCAAGAATTGACTTGTAATTCTGTTTTCATTATGGTCCTTGGATATGCCCGTATTGAATTTCTCCTTCTTAATTCATATTGAAATGAAACTGCAGGTGGAGCAAGCAACAAAACGCGTGAGGAAGTGGGGTGGTCAGGACGTCACAGCTGAGAAAGGAGCTCAAAGTACCTGAAAATGAAATTCTTCGCTCCTCCATTCCAGTTCAATGTTCAAACTTTTTTTTCTTGGATGAATGAGGTTTTGAATAGAATAAATATCCTTTCGCTTACTAGTTTGATTTTGTGCACTCCTTAATATGCACAAGATATCTAATTGCAGTGAGGCCCATCTTTGCCATTTTCAGAGGCCAAGCAGTGATCCTCATTACGTGTTTTCTTTATATGATTTATATTTTATATGCACGCAAATTCCACGAAATAAGCAACCTTAGAATCAGATAACATAAACAAGTTTCAATATATATATAAAATTATTATTATTATTATTACTGTAGAAGCAATTGGAGAAATTATAGAATCGTATCGGAGAAATTATAGAATCGTATCGGTGACCCCAACAAGAGAAGACTTATATTACATGATATTACATGTTCTTTTAAGCTCGTCGCTAAGAGCGATTACGAGCAATTCCATCGGCTTGCCCGGGTTGGGGCAAGAGGGGGGGGAAGAAGAAAAAGGCATTCCAGAGGGGCTTTTTTGCCCGGGTTGGGTGTGGGCTCCACAAGCCTGGGCTGGCCCTTAGGCAAAATCAACCCTTACTATAGCTTGGGTTTGCTGACATCAGCAACCAAATTTTTTTTTTTAAAAATTACTAAAAATTTCAGAATTTTTAAAAAATAAATACTTAGTCATATTTTTCACTTCTCACACCAAAACTCTATACAAATTCATCTCCTCATATCTCATGTGAATAGTAATTGCCATGGCAATGGATGAAAACACCACAAGCCTTTTGCAAGGGCTGCTACTATTTACGTGAATAGTAATAGTCCTTGCCTCCCCTTGCCTTTTGCCATGGCAAATGGGTGGAAGTCCTCTAAATGTGATAAAAATTGCATCGGTCTCTAACCAAGTTATGAATGCCAAATGCACAGGTTGTTGGAAATCCCTCCTTAGTGGAGTCAAGATGTGCGGCTGCTATTTTTCCCTTTGGAAAGCACACGGATGCATGTATGGGATATGCATGCATGGTCAATAATTGATGGCTGAAAAGGAAGAGAAAAATGGGGGAGCTGCATATGCTTTCGGCGCCTTGGGTTTCCTCCTTAGTGGAGGAATAGTTTTTGTATTAATAATGTCTTTGGTGGGAGACAAGGTGTAATGGTGGTGGAGGTTCGTGGGTTGTTTTTGGGAGTTGAAAATCAGCCTTTCTTTTATGGTTTATAAAAGGGGAGGGTGCATGCAAGTGTGATGTGAGTGCATGTGTGCTTGTGTCGCACCAAAGGATGAGGGTGTGGGCTGGTGTGCTTCAGCCACACCAAGGAAAGGCACCAGAGAGAGAGAGCACGGCAGAGAGGGAGAGTGGGTTGCTTGTGAGATGCAAGCAAGCAGTCCCATGAATTCCTGGAGGATGTTTCAGCTGGAAATTAGCTGGGCTCATCAAAGGTTCAAGAGAGGGTATATCTCTTGGGGAGTGACAGTGAGTTTTGGGAAATACTGTGAGTGGGTGTACAAGGGACTCGGGTTTGGGTATAAAACTCTTGAGTGTTATATTGAGTTATGTTGATTTAACACAATATGTATTTTGTACGGTTAATATTCTCATAGTGGAAAACTGATAATACTGTCCGGGGATGTAGGCATGTTTTTTTTCTGCTGAACCTCGTAAATTCTTGGTGTGTTCTCTCATGTATTTACTCATTGTCATCTTGAGCTTGTTGGTTTGTTTTGTGTATTTCTTCCATCGGGTTATGCCGTGACGAGGGGGAAATCGGTGTTTCCCCAACACAGGTTGTGTTGAGTTAGGTTGGACTTGTTCAAAACGAACCACCGGTAGCCGCTTGAGCGATTTATTTACCCTCCTTTTGATTTTCCTGTCTTTTCATGGCAAGATTTTTCCTTTGGATTTGCGTATCATATCCCGCCAAGTATAGTGCGGTCAGGGCTCTACTTTATTTAACATTAAATAAGTTAAGTTGATTGATTCATTAGAGACCTATCTACCTATCTTCATGGAGGAGCCCCTACTGGACACAGCTGCTGGCGCTGATCAGTTGAGCACTAAGCCTCATGATCTGTACGAAGGTGGGAACGAAGACTATGCTCCGGTGAGGAGCTTCGATGCGCTGCGGTGTATGTTTTGGATCGAGACAGGGAAGCTCTGGAAAATGGCAGGTCCGGCAGTGATCACTATGTTGTGTATGTATGGGACTAACTCAGCTGTCATTCTCTTTGTCGGTCATCTCGGAACTGTAGAGCTCTCAGCGGTCTCCATTTCTCTAGCCGTCATTTACACATTCGCTTTTGGATTCTTGGTCAATTTTCTTCCCCTTAGTTCCTCATATGTCAATATTCTGACATGTTATATTATATATGTTGTCTGACTATGAATTTGAAGTTTCGACTATTAGTTAAATACATGAAATGAAAATAACATTACATATATATTTGGAAAGAGAACCTTGATGATGCATGAATTGTAGTGATATGGCAACTTTAAGAATGTCAGAAATATGAAAACTTAATATGTTATGTTTATGCAGTTTGGCATGGGGAGTGCTCTGGAGACCCTGTGTGGGCAGGCATTTGGAGCTGGGCAGATTCATATGCTTGGGATTTACATGCAGCGCTCATGGATAATCCTATTAGTAACCAGCCTGTTCATCTTGCCAATTTACATCTTTGGCACACCCGTTTTAAAGTTGCTAGGCCAAGAAGATGACATAGCCAATCTGGCTGGAGAATTTACAATCCAAACAATCCCCGCATTGTTCTCACTTGCCATTATTTTTCCAGCTCAGAAGTTCCTTCAGGCTCAGAGAAAGGTTATGGTTCTGGCATGGATTGCAGTTTTTGGTTTGATCATAGAAATTGGACTGCTCTGTCTCTTCATTTTGGTGTTTGGTTGGGGCACATTGGGTGCAGCTGTTGCATTTGATATTGTAAGATGGGGCATGGCAATTGCTCAAGTTGTGTATATAATGGGTTGGTGCAGGGAGGGCTGGACTGGGTTTTCATGGTTGGCTTTCAAGGAGATATGGGCTTTTGTAAGACTTTCCCTTGCCTCTGCTGTCATGCTCTGCCTTGAGATTTGGTACTTCATGAGCATACTCATTCTCACAGGCCATCTTGATAATGCAGTTATAGCAGTTGGTTCCCTTTCTATTTGGTAATTAACATCTTAATGCTAATACCATGGTGGCTAATGATAAGCTTTTGATACCTAATGCTAATACCATTCTCTTCTTTTCCTTCATTTTTTTGGCTTCCGCAGCATGAACATCAACGAATTTGAACTAATGTTGTTCGTTGGAATAAATGTGGCAATAAGGTGAACAATAAGCATTGCATATTGCATTTGAATGATTATTCATGTTGGTGAATGAGTTAATTAAGGTTTTTAATTTCTACTAATAATGCAGTGTGCGTGTCTCCAATGAGCTTGGATCAGGAAGACCAAGAGCAGCCAAATACTCTGTCTATGTGACAGTATTTCAGTGTCTTCTAATTGGGATTTTTTTCATGATTGTGATCTTGATAACCAAAGACAGTTTTTCCCTACTTTTTACAAGTGATGAGGATCTGCAACAAGCGGTCGCTAAGCTAGCATATCTTCTTGGTATAACTATGTTGCTCAACAGCATCCAGCCAATAATATCAGGTACCCGTTTGACGTGCGACTAAGTTTATGAAATGCTATACAAATAACGCCACTTCTTCTGCTGATGCCCATGTTTGCTTGCTTGCTGGTTCTTGAAGGGGTTGCAATTGGAGGTGGATGGCAGGCGCTGGTAGCTTATATAAACTTGGGTTGTTACTACATTTTTGGACTTCCTTTTGGATATCTTCTTGGTTATACTGCAAATCTGGGTGTGATGGTAAGTTAAGATATCATTCCCAAATTCCAAGTAGGTTACGTTAATTCACAAGTGTTTGATGAATTCCTGTGATTGATGCAGGGACTTTGGGGGGGCATGATATGTGGAACTGCTCTCCAAACCTTGCTTCTGTTGATTGTGCTTTACAAAACCAACTGGAACAAAGAGGTATAATCAATATTTCAATTCATTGCAAATCATAAACCATGTGAGATATGAAAATCTTAACAAAATACAACCAAGAATTGACTTGTAATTTTGTTTTCATTATGGTCCTTGGATATGCCCGTATTGAATTTCTCCTTCTTAATTCATATTGAAATGAAAACTGCAGGTGGAGCAAGCAACAAAACGCGTGAGGAAGTGGGGTGGTCAGGACGTCACAGCTGAGAAAGGAGCTCAAAGTACCTGAAAATGAAATTCTTCGCTCCTCCATTCCAGTTCAATGTTCAAACTTTTTTTTCTTGGATGAATGAGGTTTTGAATAGAATAAATATCCTTTCGCTTACTAGTTTGATTTTGTGCAACCCTTAATATGCACAAGTACAAAAGATATAGTTGTTAGAGTATGTAGAGCTAGGATTGTGACAAGTGTCACTTAGTCATTGACTGATGTTAGAATTAATTAGTAAGTTGTTGTAATCAGTTGGAGCCTTATAAAGCTTAACTCGTATGGTTCTCTAAGAAAATAATACAGATTTGTTCATCTTCTTCTTAATTCTCTCTCTACTTCTCTTTTGTTAACAATAGTGAGATCTCTAATTGCTGCGAGGCCCATCTTTGCCATTTTCAGAGGCCAAGCAGTGGTACTCATTACATGGTACTCATTACATGTTTCCTTATGTCGTAATTAAATATGGTACAAATAACATTACTCTCCAACCAAACCACGGATGCATGCATGGGTTGGCTTGGCTGGAACGATTCATCCATCCCCTTCCTACCTCATGATCCTCTTAAAATCACCTAATTTTCCTGTCTTTTCATGGACGGACGTTTCCTTTAAGTTAGCATCATATATCCCAAAAAGTACAGCGCGGTCTGCTTTAGTTTAACAAATAAATTATTGTCGTGTTGCATCACATTTACATATAACATAATAGCAGCTGAATCCAACCGTATAAAGAACGTGAATTTTGGACGTACGGTTGGAAAGTTATAGGCAAAACACTGGACAGAGGTCGAAACTGAAAAACAGAGAAAACGAATCTGCCCAAAAACGACCGGTCGCTTTTACCTGACGACCGGTCGCTTTAGCACTGTTCATAGGTGATAAATGGGTGATAAAAGGGTGATAGAAAATGATGTTTGTGTTTTTGTTTAGTTTTCTTGTGTTGTTTCATTTCTTTTACACTTCTTTACTCATTTTTAGTTTCCATTTTGCATTTGTGCATTTGTGGTGTGTCAATTAAGTGTTCTTTACGTACTCAAATTAGAACTTATAGGAAGCCGACAAGTTCTTCGTGGGATCGACCCCGTACTTACATAATCTATACTTCAATAGATTCGTGCACTTGCGGGTATTTTTAATTGGTTGTTTGCACGTTAATTTGTGTCCTCTTAGGAATGCAACAATGGGGAGTGCTCTGGAGACCCTATGTGGACAGGCATTTGGAGCTGGGCAGATTCACATGCTTGGGATTTACATGCAGCGCTCATGCCAATTTACATATTTGCCACACCCATTTTAAAGTTGCTAGTGCAGCGCTCATGCCAATTTACATATTTGCCACACCCATTTTAAAGTTGCTAGGTCAACAAGATGACATAGCCAATCTAGCTTGAGAATTAGTGAGGTCTCAAATTGCTGTGACGCCCATCTTTGCCATTTTCAGCAAAAAAAACTTACATGAAATGGGATAGCACTGTTTTGCTATCTCCAGCCAATAACACAATGACATGTGGAAAAGTTATCCTATGTGTTATTGCATTATTAGCGGGGGATAGCAAAAAGTGTTATCCCTGTTGAATGAAAGTTTCTCTCCATTTTCAGCGGCCAATGCATACTCCTCCTCTGTTCATAAGTTTATCTAACGGTGTCAGTGGTGTTCATCATGTTGGGCAATATTGACATGGTCGACATCCGATATTAAGATGATATCGATATAATAAGATTATTGAAGGACAATGAGATATTTTTGGCTTCATGAGGGAGGCACTAGTTTAGTAGAAGAATGATGCCAATAGAAAGGACTAAAACAGAGTTACAGGACCTATAAAACACTGTAAATGTGATTGATGAAAAAACAACAAAATGATTACATATCTATAATGCGATATTTTTGGCTTCATGAGGGAGGCACTAGTTTAGTAGAAGAATGATGCCAATAGAAAGGACTAAAACAGAGTTACAGGACTTATAAAACACTGTAAATGTGATTGATGAAAAAACAACAAAATGATTACATATCTATAATGCTGCTCAACCCAACGGATAAACAAAATTCATATTCAGTAAATGAGGTTCAAAGTTGCAAACTGAGAAAGGGTGCCGGCGTGCCGCTGCGTGCGTGGGTCACGTTTATATGATTTATATGCAAACCCCACGAAATACGCATTCCAACATTCAAGATTTCAGTGACATTGTACAGAGCAGCCTCAGCTCAGAATCAGAATCAGATGACATGGCGCAAGTGACCCGCACAAGATAAGACTTATTATTAGCATAGGATATATTTTCTCTGCATTCCATGTTACCGATTCCTCTACACGTTATTTTGTGCTCGTTGTTAAAATGTGGTACAAGTAATTATTGTCTCCAACCGAGTTATGAAAGCCATGCATCGAGTTTGGGGGTTCGGTTAAACTTCTTCAAACGAACCACCGGTAGCAGCTTGAACTTATTCATACACCTTATGATCCTGCACATTCATGTGTGCCGATTCCCTTATGGTTGACTAAACAACTGAGATACTGGTTTCACTGTACTTATTATAATCCATCTGCTTTAGTTTAACAAATAAATTGTTGCATCATATTTACATATGATATAAGATACATGCAGTGCAGGAGTGTGGGATCAAAGTCTGCGGGAGAAACAAACGACCAAATTGCTTAACTTAAATTTAAACAACTCTTCCAAGTATTAAGTTAATGGTTCATGAGAATGCTTTATTGTATTTGTTTTCATTCCCTCTTAGATACAGAAAATTGTGTATTTATGTAAGGACAATACTTCCCTCCTTACACATAACGAGAAACTCTTCCTTACTTTCTATTGTGGCTCAATCACAAAGTAACTTGTGTCCTTTATTTTAATTGTCAAAACTGTTTTTCCCCCGCTTTTACTGAGCCCCTAGTTTTTTGCCAAAACAGAAAAGAAAAAAAAAATTGCCCATGTTTGCTTGCTTGCTTGGTTCTTGAAGGGGTTGCAATTGGAGGTGGATGGCAGGCAATGGTAGCTTATATAAACTTGGGATGTTACTACATTTTTGGACTTCCTCTCGGATATCTTCTTGGTTATACTGCAAATCTGGGTGTGATGGTAAGATAAGATATATAGTATCATTTCCAAATTCCAAGTAGGTTACGTTAATTCACAAGTGTTTGATGAATTCCTGTGATTGATGCAGGGACTTTGGGGGGGCATGATATGTGGAACTGCTCTCCAAACCTTGCTTCTGTTGATTGTGCTCTACAAAACCAACTGGAACAAAGAGGTATAATCAATATTTCAATTCATTGCAAATCATAAACAAAGCGAGATTTGAAAATATCCACATTGAAATGAAACTGCAGGTGGAGCAAGCAACAAAACGCACGAGAAAGTGGGGTGTGTTGTGCGGAAGCGTCAACCAACTATGAGTGAAAATAAACAACAATAGCGGACAAGAGTATTCCACTATAATCAATGAGAATATACAAGTGGTGTTTATCACTCAATTTCCCAAAAACCCAAATAACCCAAGCTCACACACTCACAATAGGAAGAGAAAACTAAAAATACAAAGCAAAAACAATTTGAGAGAATTTTCTTCTCTCTGGCCGAATGACTTCTTGCTGTTTCTCTCCCTCTTCTCCTTTGCTTCAGCTGCTGCCATGCTTCTCCATTTATTGAGAAGTCACCGGGTGAAGGCCAGCCACATTTGCATGGCTTTTGTCCCCCACCCACGTGCCAAAGCCTATTTTTCCTCTGCAGCTATCCCACTTGGAAAATGCTGTCGGTGCAAGTGGACAAGTTGAGCCACAAATCAACAGGGTGGTCAAGAAGACATCGCATCTGAGAATGGAGCTCAAAGGACATTAAATGAAATTCTTTGGTCCTCCATTCCATTCAATGTCCGAACTATTTTGGCTCAGTGAGGGTTTTGAATAGAATAAATATCCTCTGTTCTAGCTTTGCCATTTCCAGAGGCCAATGCATATTCCTCTGTTCAGAAATTTAACAACCGTGTCGGCGCCAACCATGGTATGACTCATGAGTATAACCTACACTACACCAAGCAGAAGTACTCACGTTTTTGCAATTTCAATAAAATTTAAAATCCCAAAAAGGTTTGGTTACTTTGTCAAAAAAGAATAAATGGACATGAATATAATGAGATTATTTAGTATCATATTACAATGACAAAAAGGAGAAAAAAAGAGAGTGAATCTTCCTTTGATCATAATTTCTCTCATTCTAGAGACAGATACATACAGAGTACAGACCCAATGGTTGATTAGTCAATGTTTTTCAGTCTAACATTGTTTTCCAGTCTAACGGGGGACCTATAACAGAGACTAATGGGGACGTCTCTTTCTCAGTCCTTCACACCACATACGACCAAAGTTAATTAATCCAACCTCAGAGATTATGAATCGTTATATATATCCTTCAAAACTTCAACCTCAGAGACCTATCTACATATCTTAATGGAGGAGCCGCTACTGGACACAGCTGCAGGCGCTGATCAGTTGCGCACTCATGATCTGTATGAAGGTGGGAACAAAGACTATGCTCCGGTGAGGAGCTTCGATGCGCTGCGGTGTATGTTTTGGATTGAGACAGGGAAGCTCTGGAAAATGGCAGGTCCGGCAGTGATCACTATGTTGTGTATGTATGGGACTAACTCAGCTGTCATTCTCTTTGTTGGTCATCTCGGAACCGTAGAGCTCTCAGCGGTCTCCATTTCTCTAGCCGTCATTTCCACATTCGCTTATGGATTCTTGGTCAATTTTCTTCCCCTTAGTTCCTCATATGTCAATATTCTGACATGTTATATTATATATATGTTGCCAGGCTATGAATTTGAGGTTTCGACTATTAGTTAAGTACATGAAATGAAAATAACATTACATATATATTTGGAAAAAGACCTTGATGATTGTTGGTTTTAGAAAGTGTGTGAGTAGCGCTCTGATACCACTGTTGGGTTTTTAAAAGAAGAATAGAGTGATTTTATTTATTCAACAATAGGATGGATACAAGGCTTAGCTATTTGGCCTGTTAGTTGTAGCTATTGGCCTTTATCACTAGATTGATTACAAACAGAAAGCTTAGTGCCCATTTATAGAGGGAACAACCATCTAGTAAAGTCGGTTATTCTAGTAAACCGACAGTAACTTGTAATTCCAGCCGCATATATTGTAGCTTCAACTAGAACTTTCTACTAGCTTCAATTAAGTTAGTGACTAGTGTTTAGGGAATACATCCGCCAACTTTGCATTCTAAATTGTCCTAGAAAATTCTGCTAGCTTGTAGAAATCTCCACCAAATGTGCATTATTTTTCAACAATGATGCATGAATTGTAGCGATATGGCAACTTTAAGAATGTCAAAAATATGAAAACTTAATATGTTATGTTTATGCAGTTTGGCATGGGGAGTGCTCTGGAGACCCTGTGTGGGCAGGCATTTGGAGCCGGGGAGATTCATATGCTTGGGATTTACATGCAGCGCTCATGGATAATCCTATTAGTAACCAGCCTCTTCATCTTGCCAATTTACATCTTTGCCACACCCGTTTTAAAGTTGCTAGGCCAAGAAGATGACATAGCCAATCTGGCTGGAGAATTTACAATCCAAACAATCCCCTCATTGTTCTCACTTGCCATTATTTTTCCAGCTCAGAAGTTCCTTCAGGCTCAGAGAAAGGTTAAGGTTCTGGCATGGATTGCAGTTTTGGCTTTGATCGTACAAATTGGGATGCTCTGTCTCTTCATTTTGGTGTTTGGTTGGGGCACATTGGGTGCGGCTGTTGCATTTGACATTATAAGATGGGGCGTGGCAATTGCTCAAGTTGTGTATATAATGGGTTGGTGCAGGGAGGGCTGGACTGGGTTTTCATGGTTGGCTTTCAAGGAGATATGGGCTTTTGTAAGACTTTCCCTTGCCTCTGCTGTCATGCTCTGCCTTGAGATTTGGTACTTCATGAGCATACTCATTCTCACAGGCCATCTTGATAATGCAGTTATAGCAGTTGGTTCCCTTTCTATTTGGTAATTAACATCTTAATGCTAATACCATGGTGGCTAATGATAAGCTTTTGATACCTAATGCTAATACCATTCTCTTCTTTTCCTTTCGCAGCGTGAACATTAACGGAATTCAACTAATGTTGTTCATTGGAATAAATGTGGCAATAAGGTGAACAAGCATTGCATATTGCATTTGAAGGATTATTCTCATGTTGGTGAATGAGTTAATTAAGGTTTTTAATTTCTACTAATAATGCAGTGTGCGTGTCTCCAATGAGCTTGGATCAGGAAGACCAAGAGCAGCCAAATACTCTGTCTATGTGACAGTATTTCAGTGTCTTCTAATTGGGATTTTTTTCATGATTGTGATCTTGATAACCAAAGACAGTTTTTCCCTACTTTTTACAAGTGATAAGGATCTGCAACAAGCGGTCGCTAAGCTAGCATATCTTCTTGGTATAACTATGTTGCTCAACAGCATCCAGCCAGTAATATCAGGTACCGGTTTGACGTGCGACTAAGTTTATGAAATGTTATACAAATAATGCCACTTCTTCTGCTGATGCCCATGTTTGCTTGCTTGCTGGTTCTTGAAGGGGTTGCAATTGGAGGTGGATGGCAGGCACTAGTAGCTTATATAAACTTGGGTTGTTACTACATTTTTGGACTTCCTCTTGGATATCTTCTTGGTTATACTGCGAATCTGGGTGTGATGGTAAGTTAAGATGGTAACATTTCCAAATTCCAAGTAGGTTACGTTAATTCACAAGTGTTTGATGAATTCCTGTGATTGATGCAGGGACTTTGGGGTGGCATGATATGTGGAACTGCTCTCCAAACCTTGCTTCTGATGATTGTGCTCTACAAAACCAACTGGAATAAAGAGGTATAATCAATATTTCAATTCATTGCAAATTATAAACAATGTGAGATTTGAAAATATCCACATTGAAATGAAACTGCAGGTGGAGCAAGCAACAAAACGTGTGAGGAAGTGGGGTGGTCAAGACATCACAGCTGAGAATGGAGCTCAAAGTACCTGAAATTCTTTGCTCCTTCAATGTTCAATGTTCAAACTTTTTGTTGGATGAATAAATATCGTTAAGTACAAGTACAAAAAAGGCAATGATATAGTGAGATTTCTAGCTTTGCCATTTTCAGAGGCCAATGCATATTCCTCTGTTCATAAGCTTAACAGGTCGGCGCCTAATTTTGGACTTTGGTCAACCATTACCATGATTTGAGTATGATATGAGCCACACTACACCAAGCAACGGTCCTTATTTTTTTGCAATTTCATTTATATTTTCAATAAAACTTAAAAGCCCCAAAAGGTTTTGGTTACTTTATTAAAAAAGAAATAGTGGGTTGTTTTGACATGGTCGACAACATCATATTTACAATATATAAAAAAACGAAACAAAGAAGAAGAAAATGTGAATTTGCCTTCATCAGAATGAATTTCTGTCATTCTAGAGAATGAGATATTTTTGGCACATGAAGATGACAAAAGTAAAGACATAATTACTCTGCTTCAGTCTTTCACACAACACACTGTAAATGTGTGAACTATAATGGCTCCTCATCATCACCATGCTTGCTAGGTAGCTAAAGTCGCTGTCATTGCCTACAAAACAACAAATATTGAAAATAAAATTCATGTTCTATAGCATATAGTACTATTGCTCATAAACTCTCATATTCATTGGTGAGTTTGGTTTGGAGTAAATTAATGGAAACACCGTTGCTCAAAGGCAAAGGCGAAGCGGAGGCAGCTGATGATGACTGTGCGGCAGTGAGGAGCTTTGAGGAGGCCATGTGGGTCTCTTGGAAGGAGGCAGTGAAGCTCTGGAGAATTGCAGCTCCGGTGGCGTTTACAACTCTGTTTCAGTACCTGGTTGTGTCTGTCACCACCGTCTTTGTGGGTCATCTCGGAGATCTTGAGCTCTCTGCTGTTTCCCTTTCTGTCACTGTCATTTCCGGCATCCCTTTTGGTTTACTGGTTTGCATCTAATACATCTGCTTCTGTTTCTTTTTTTGTATATACATATATATATATTATATCATATATCATATATAATATATAATATATATTCTTGGAAGGAGGCAGTGAAGCTCTGGAGAATTGCAGCTCCGGTGGCGTTTACAACTCTGTTTCAGTACCTGGTTGTGTCTGTCACCACCGTCTTTGTGGGTCATCTCGGAGATCTTGAGCTCTCTGCTGTTTCCCTTTCTGTCACTGTCATTTCTGGCATCCCTTTTGGTTTACTGGTTTGCATCTAATACATCTGCTTCTGTTTCTTTTTCTGTATATATATATTATCATATATCATATATAATATATAATATATATTCTTGTTATGGATAAATGTGACTGTGTTTACATGTTTATTGTTTTGAGTTGTTTACTCTTATTAATAAATTACAGGGAAAGTTTTGACTTTTGAGTGAGTTGAATTTACATTTATTAGGTGAATATATGGTGACATTCTCCTCAGTCTTTTGACTGGAAGGTCTATTTTGATATGCCAAAAGCTAAATGTTGCTTAAGAGATGACTTGTGTTGAAGGAATGAAAGAGAGACCAATTTAATTTAGCTATGCATGTATATATGTAGCAAGGTATGGCAACTGCACTGGGAACGCTTTGTGGTCAAGCATTTGGTGCAGGCCAAGTTGGGTTGCTTGGTATCTATATGCAGCGGTCATGGATTGTCCTATTAATCACCTGTATCATCCTTTCACCGGTTTATATTTTTGCCGCTCCAATACTGGAGAGTTTAGGCCAAGAAAGTGATATAGCTGATCTTGCTGGAAAATATAGTGTAAAGATAATTCCTCAGTTGTTCTCCTTTGCCATCTTTTTGCCCACTCAGAGGTTCCTTCAGGCTCAGAGCAAGGTTAGCGCAATGGCATTGATTGCTTTTGTGGCGCTGATCATACAAACTGGACTCCTTCATCTTTTCATCAATGTGTTTGGCTGGGGAACCACTGGTGCAGCTGTAGCTTATGACATCACACATTGGGGAATTACAGTTGGTCAAGTTGTGTATATTATGGTTTGGTGCAAAGAGGAGTGGACTGGATTTTCATGGCTGGCATTTAAGGACATTTGGGCTTTTGCTAAGCTATCCCTTGCCTCATGCATGATGTTTTGCCTAGACTCATGGTATACCATGACCATAAACATTCTCGCAGGTTTACTTGAAAATGCAGTGATTGCTGTTGGTTCCTTTTCTATATGGTAAGATCATATTTATGCTGCTATGCACTTGTTCTCATCTCCATGACTGAAAGCATCAAACTAATTGTAGTTCTCATTTCTTTCATATTTTTGTTCTTTTAGCATGAACTTTCAGAATTGGGAGATCATGTTGTTGGTTGGACTAAATGCTGCTATAAGGTAAATGTTGCTCTATATAATATGTAATGCACTTTCCATGCATTTTTCTGGTGTTGATAAGATCACATCATTGTTAACGATCAACAACCATCTGTACGCAGCACTCGAGTCTCCAATGAACTTGGAATGGGGCGCCCAAGAGCGGCCAAATACGCTGTCTGTACTGCAGTCTTGCAATCTCTCATAGTTGGAATTTTATCTATGATTGCTGTCTTCATAAGTAGAGACTACTTTGCCATGGTTTTCACAAACAGTGAAGATATGCAACGTGCCGTTGCTCGTTTAGCATACTTTCTTGGTGTAACCATGCTTCTTAATAGCGCAACAGTAGTGTTATCTGGTATATCTCTTTTAGTGTTGCTTGCTTCTCCTCACTTCACTAGTTCTGCTCATGCAATGTTCCACTGTTAAACCTCCCTCCAACTTCCAAGCCTCCTTTTTCTAATTGGTCTTTTTTTGTTGTTGCAGGTGTTGCTGTTGGAGGTGGATGGCAAGTGATGGTTGCTTATATAAACTTTGCTTGTTATTATCTATTTGGGCTCCCACTTGCAATCTTTCTTGGATTTAAAGCAAATCTGGGTGCTTTGGTACTAATACTAGCTTCTCTATCTTTCATATATGACACAAAATACAGTTGTAATTTGCCACATTGTCAGATTAATTTAGTTTAAAATTATGGATGTTACAACATAGGGACTTTGGGGTGGCATGATGAGTGGAAGTGCTGTTCAGATCTTATTGTTATTGATTGTGACTTCCAGAACCAACTGGGACAGAGAGGTAATCACTAGAATCTCATATGCAAACCTATTCCTATTTATCGTAAACTAATCTTGATATTGCATTTGCAGGTGGAGCAAACAACAAAGCGCATAAAGAAGTGGGGAAGCCAAGAAACAAAAACTGACAAGATAGATAGCTCTTAGTATATCAAAATAAATAAGCATCAAAGTCTCTAAATGGAGGATAACAAACAAGGGCAGCTGAGCTGAGTTGGAACTTGGACTAGTAGTAAGGTTTAGTTAATTCTTAAGCAAGCTGTTGTTCAAAGTGTTGTGCTGTGAAAATAATCATTGTCAGACTTGTTGTGAGAGAAATCAGCTGTGAGATAAAGTAGTTTGGCGTTTGGTAATTTTTTTGTTAAAAGTGTTGTTGATACTGATTCCCGTATAATCAGAAAATGATTGCCGCATAATCATTAAATCCAACGCCTCTTCGAAACTAATTCCTGCATAATCAGAAAATAAAAGCACCTCACTAGTTGCTTTCCCTTATAGCTTTCTCTTACAGTAATTTATAACAATAAGTGATTTTCTCATAATTTACCAAACGGGCTGGGTTTCCCAAAAAAATTTTAAAAATCACTTATCACCCCAAGCAAGAGATGGCAAAGCGCGTGTACTTGGGTGGGACCTGGAGTTGGGCCCACCGCCTTCACGAATCGCCGTCTTGTTCTTCTCATGGAACACTAGTGGTGACCACTAGACTAAATATTGAGAATGGTACCGGGTCTGTAGACCCACAGACATTTGTTTGGGCCTTTAGGCCTTTGGGTCCACCATTTGTGCTCTCATTCACTTTGGGTGGGGTTCAAAAACTCCCATAATCTCAGTCAGACAAATTAACTTTATGAATTCAATTATTTTTTGTTTTTGAGAAATTATGTAATTGCATTCATAATTCAATAAAAAAAAGTCACTAGTTATAAAGGGTCATTACAATTACGGAGAAGTAATATAAAATCAATATTATGACAATTTGATGCATCTCCATTAACAATCACGCAAAACTGAAGAAACTCTTAATATAGTAGTATTTCATTTCTTCCTCTATAATTTTTTTTTAAAAAAAAACTTAAAAAGCATCTCTTGCTTTACAAATTCCTTTCCCTTGAGTGCAATTTCGCACTTATCTTAATACAAGTGAGGAGTGTAAGATAAATCTTTTGAAGTGCGAATAATAAATTTTATTATTTTTATTAACACTTGAAATAATGAAGCAAATAGTAGTTATGTTAGATTTATTCAGGTCCATTCATCTCAGCATTTATGGAAGTTTAGTACCAGAGACGTGGACGGTGAACCACCGATTACCATACCAAATTTTGTAGTTTCTGTGTGTCTGGAAAGGTGGTTGGATTCTTGTGCTGCTGCTGTGCTGTGCAAGTGCAACAAAGGGAAATAATTATACATGGATACGTATGTGAACCGTATATTCCATTGAGTATGTATAATGTATGGTAATATGGTATGGGGCTAGCTAGCCAAGCGTAGCTATATTTGGTACCAGACAGTTCACATTTCCACTGGGGAGGAAACTTTCAAGTGTCAAGAGAGATTGGTAGGTGGGCGGGAGAGTGGTGGTTCAGAACCTCATTATTTGGTCTTTGGAATTACATTGGAAAATTTGAACGGTGGGCTTTGAGTGTACGTTAGTCTAGCTAGCTAAATCCAAGACAATTCATTGTCGGATCAAATTGTAATTAACCACCCAGATTGCGGTGCGTGCAACCATCCCTTGGACGTTCTTTGATATTTGCAAACCTTTTGAGTTGTGACACTGACATTCACCAATGATAAATGAGAACCACGTGGTAACTAACTGTCGCTGACCAAAGTTGGAGAGAGACGAGCTCATGCAAAGCATAGCATACCTAATTTGATTTTTCTTTCTTCTAGATTAAAATTGACAATACTACTTGCAAAATTTGTTTCCACATGCCTGCAGATTTTTTTATATAATACAAGTGATAGTCTAAAATATAAGAGGAAGAGGGGTTTCACACACACACTATCAAGATGTCATGAGTAATCGACCTTAACATTACTAATATGCAAATCAATATCTTTTTCCACAATTCGAGCAAAGTTTAAGCATTGCCATTCTTAAGGTATAATTATATATGGTTACACTTTTTTTGGTCGAAATATATGCACCCAGATTGCGGTGCGTGCAACCATCCCTTGGACGTTCTTTGATATTTGCAAACCTTTTGAGTTGTGACACTGACATTCACCAATGATAAATGAGAACCACGTGGTAACTAACTGTCGCTGACCAAAGTTGGAGAGAGACGAGCTCATGCAAAGCATAGCATACCTAATTTGATTTTTCTTTCTTCTAGATTAAAATTGACAATACTACTTGCAAAATTTGTTTCCACATGCCGTGCAGATTTTTTTATATAATACAAGTGATAGTCTAAAATATAAGAGGAAGAAGGGTTTCACACACACACTATCAAGATGTCATGAGTAATCGACCTTAAGATTACTAATATGAAAATCAATATCTTTTTCCACAATTCGAGCAAAGTTTAAGCATTGCCATTCTTAAGGTATAATTATATATTGTTACACTTAGATTTAAATAGGTTGCAGTCTTGCGCTAATTGGGAGTATTTCTTTTAACATTAATTAACAAGTAAAAAAACAAAATAAATTACACTCGAAATAAAGTAATATTTTAAGTCAAAGCAAAGAAGTAAACGTCAAAAGAATAACTTGGAACTATATAAAGTATGGGACTTCATTCTCACGAAGTCACAAAACCAAAACCAAACCAAACCAAAACCCAACACACACCATCCCAGTTCACAACACCACCACCCAGCCTTAGCACCGTTGGATTCATCTCCGTAGCTCCCTCCCACTTCATATCAGATCCAAACAGGTGTCCCTGCGGTATTTAATTCATATGGAGGCGCCACTGCTTCCGGCACTGAACGGCGACGATGTTCGAGACTATGAGCCGGTGAAGAGCTGGAAGGATGCTCGGTCGGTGACGTGGAAAGAGACTCGGAAGCTGTGGAAAATAGCGGGGCCCATCGCCTTCACAATCATCTGCAACTTTGGGACCAACTCTGTTTCCACCATGTTCGTCGGACACCTCGGAAACGTTCAGCTCTCTGCCGTCTCAATCGCTCTCTCTGTGATCGGAACCTTCTCTTTCGGCTTCTTGGTAAATTAGCTCTAGCTACCCTTCCATTTCATTTATTAATTCTATGCATTTAATTCACATACCATATATTCATATATAATTAATGGGGTGCATGCAATGCACATGTCGTCAATTTACATATAGCCTAGGTGGGGTGAGATTTAACAACTCTGTCTTTTTCTACTTGATTTATGTTTTTATGATTTGGGTTTCTTTTGTTGCACTCATCTTCTTCTTCGTGCTTTTCTTTGATCTGTTTTTTTTTTTTTAATGTGTGTTAGGTATTCCTCAGTTTTCAAAACATTATGCTTTTTTATTTTTTTATGTATTAAAATGGTTAAATATATATACTTTCTGTGTATTAGGCTGACTAAAGTTGAGTGGAGAGTTTTTCTAATTAGGTCAGCGAATCATTGTTTCTTATTGAAAGTTGTAGTCTTTGAATCAGACTCTGTTTCACAGTTGAGAAAAGGTCGGAAATGATAAGAGATTTTGTATGAGAGAGAGAGAGAGAGAGCGAGAGGATATATATGATAATGAGCCCAAAAAATTTGAAAAATCAACCCAATTATTCTAATGGATTAGCCTTTGTATTTTGGATAAACCATATTAACGAACAGAGAAAAATCAAATTTAATTTAACCAATTTTTTTAAAATCGAAATCTAATTAAAAGGAACACTCAAAACTCTGTCATTTCACCGTTTGAATTATTCTAATGGGTTGTCTTACTAATAGGGAATTATGTATGTATGTATGCGTGCAAATGATAGATCATTCAAATCAAATGCATGATTGATTGGTATGCAGTATCTACTATGTATGTAGCTTAGCAGCAAAACCTATGTCATGGAATTGAAGGAGCTAAATTTGATAATTTGTACAAACTTGTAGCTCGGCATGGGGAGTGCATTAGAGACGCTTTGTGGTCAAGCATTTGGTGCTGGAAGGGTTAACATGCTTGGAGTGTACATGCAAAGGTCATGGATCATTCTATTTACCACCTGTGTCATCCTCACGCCACTCTACATTTTCTCTGCCCCGATTTTAAAGCTTCTTGGGCAGGACGATGAAGTGGCTGACCTTGCTGGAACCTTCACCATATATGTCCTTCCTCAGTTATTCTCACTTGCTGTCACTTTCCCTTCCCAAAAGTTCCTTCAGGCACAAAGCAAGGTTGCTGTTCTTGCATGGATTGGTTTTCTGGCCCTCATTATACACATTGGATGGCTCTTTCTCTTCATTTACGTGTTGGATTTGGGTATCTATGGTGCTGCTCTAGCATTTGATATCACAGGTTGGGAACTTGCGATTTGTCAAGTTATTTATATAATCGGTTGGTGCAATGAAGGATGGAGTGGTTTTTCATGGTTAGCTTTCAAAGACATCTGGGCCTTTGTCAAGCTCTCGCTCGAATCAGCTGTCATGCTTTGCCTTGAGATTTGGTATATGATGAGTATAATCATTCTTACTGGCCATCTTGGCAATGCTGTGATTTCTGTTGATTCACTTTCTATCTGGTAAGGATCCAACTTCCTCCTTTTTGTTCTTGCAACCACTTTCTACTTCTGCTGCTGATCCTTCGGTATTTTTTTTCCCCTTCTTAGATTAGATGGTTTATGTACATTTCTGCATTCAAATTATGATGTTTTTTCTTGGATTTTAACTCAACCAATTGGCATTGCAGCATGAATCTCAATGGATGGGAAGCTATGTTGTTCATTGGAATTAATGCTGCTATAAGGTAAGTACCAAGACTACTTTTATCATTTGGTGTACCTTGTATGTCATTGTCATCATACACAAACAACACTTTTTGAGGCAACAAAGATGTTCTGCTTACAATTATCTCTGCCGCTGATTTTTCAGTGTTCGAGTTTCCAATGAACTTGGATTGGGACGTCCAAGAGCAGCTAAATACGCTGTCTGCGTGACAGTCCTTCAGTCTCTGCTCATTGGGATTGTTTGCATGATTGTCATCTTGATAACCAAAGACTACTTTTCTGTCATCTTCACAAGCAACGCGGAATTGCAACAAGCTGTGGCGAAGCTAGCATTTCTTCTTGGAATTACCATGGTTCTTAATAGTGTCCAACCCGTCATTTCGGGTATCAATCGAGTCACTTGGCTTTTCCTCAGTT